TTTTTCTTCTTTTTTTCTTCATTTCTTTCTCCTTCCGTATTAGCACAAGTCTAAAGATAATTCAAATAAGTTTTTTTTTTCTTTTTTAATTAGTACAAGATAGTTTAAATGAGTTTAAATATAGGAAAGAAAAAAATCAAACGTAGTAAAATAATAAAAATAAGATAAATGATAAATAAATAAATAAATAGACATGTAAAAAAAATTTAAAAAAACTTTCAACAAAGAATAGCAAACTCACCATACACAAAAAAGAAGATTAGGCTTGCATTCAAAATTTAATAATAAAAATAAAAACATTAACTTATTGTGATTTTTTACTTATTAACCAAATTAATGTAATGTATTTTATAATTTTTATATTTAAGTAACAAGCCCATATTAAAACTGTCATGCAAATAACTAGACCACAACTAGTTAAATTTCAGAAAAAGTGTTAATAATAAAGTTTCACATTAATAGACTAGTAACAAGTTAAAAAATAGAACATATATTGAAAAAAATTATTAAATACCTTTAAATTAATTTTCAACAACTAAAAGGAGAACATATATTGAAAAAAAATATTAAATACCTTTAAATTTATATTTTGAAATTTTATTTAAATAAAAAATAAATTTTATTAAATTCTAAAAATTTATCTTAAAACTTAATTTTTATGCAATGATTACTAACTTGTATCCTCTATATTACATTGTATATTTTTTTAATTAGATATTGCTAACTAATATTTAGGGATCAATACTAATTAAGAAATTAAATTATAAAATTTTTGTCAAAATTATATTGAGAATATATTTAAATCAATAGTAAGATTGGATTTATGATATTTTTAATTTTTTAGAGGCACTTTATTTTTTATTTAAATAAAATTTCAAAATATAAATTTAAAGGTATTTAATAATGTTATTAACATTAACTTTAAGTGATAAAATTTAAACCTTTTATCAGCAAAGAAAGTATTCATAGCATAATAAGTACAAAAATAATTAAATCTAACATGCACTTTTTTAACGTACTTAATTTTGTTGATTAAAATTTATTAATACTTATCACATTACAAGATAATCGTCCAAATATATTTTTAAAAATTTTAAAAATGTATTATTAGCCTTGTACAAATTATAATTTTCGAATTATTTAATCTCGTTATTCGGTAGAATGAAATTGTTTTGGAAGGAATTAGAAATGATTATTATATTATACAGCTTATTTCATTTTATTTTTCCATTTACTCTAATTCTTTTAATTAATTACCCTTTTGTGATATTGTTAATTAGCAAAATGAATATTTTAACAAATCTCTAGTTAAGCTTTCAATACCTAGCTATATGAGCGCAGCATAATCCCGTTTAACTGTGCAAGTAATCCCATCATTTGTTTCTCCTTTTATGGTTGAAAAGGGCTAACTATTACTCTGTTTAAATCCGACAAGAAGTTGGAAGTTAGAATCTGGTTGATATCTATGATAAACAATTGAAGACCAAAGGAGACATATATGGGAAAGTTTTAAAGTACTTTATAAGCTTTATCTCAACCCCTTAAAGTAATGTTCCGCAATTTAGTTACTTTAATTTGAAGGAACTCTCCATTAACTCAATAGGATAAATAATCTCATCTTAAATAAATCAATAAAATTTAATGCATAAAAAACTAATTTAATATTTAAGATAAAATGATTTATTCTATGAGATAACTCAGACAAATTCATCCAAATTCAAATCCATTATAAATTGTAATTAACGAATGTCACGCTTAGGAGTACTAGATTTGATCATCATTCACTCTCCTAATTATAAGTCCTTTTTCTTCTTTAAGAAAAGAGCAAAGTATGGGATTGAGAAGTGCTTTTGGGTATCCGACAATTACTTAAATTTTGTCTAAACTCGTGCGTCAACTTTCTTCAACCCAAATTAGTGCAAATATCTCACTTGGTTACTGGTGATGGTTTTCTTACCTACTACTGCTTCATGAGATTCAAGCTTTCGGTTGGTGTGTTTAAGGGTACAAACGGATAGAAAATCATTGCATGTCTTCGTTGACCCTGGTTTTCGATTCTTCACCGTTGGGTCTAAAGTTGTTATAATTAAGATCCTTATTAGACTTACCCGATCATAAGCGTAATGTCCATGCAATTTTAAGGTGCATGCAATTTACTGTTTGGTAAAATATTCATTACAAATGCTCACTGCGATTAGTGAAAGAAATAAAAACATTTTTGTCTAGAGAAGATAAAAAGTATTCTCGTTTTATTTTATTTATCCACTTTTAAAAGTTTAATACAATCTTACTTGTTATTTTCTTAATTATGCCTTTATTTTTAATTATATATTTTACAGAGTTAATAATAAATGCAAGAACCATAAAATAGAAGTTATATTATAAAAACCAATAATTTTAATATACATTTAAATATTATTTTTGTTTAATCTGTATGCTATCTTATAAAATGGACAAAATAATTTTTCTATTTCTTTTCATTTTTCACTTTTAAAAACAATTATTCATCTATTTAATTATAAGCTTACGACAACATTACTAATCAATTGCACATTATAAATGACAGAAAAATAACAATAAAGGCTATATTGAAAACTTAAAAAGTTAATATAAATCAAGTATTAATTATATTTCTTAATTTTAATCCAAGATTAGAAATCACAAATTGCCGTTAAGTTGTCTTTAAAGTTAAATGACCTAACACTAGTCTGTACACTGTTTTGGGTCTACCACTTAAAAAATTTACACACAACAGAATTTATACACAAGACTCCCTTCTAAATGGGGTGACTTCACCAGTTTAAATGCATAATTTTAAATCACTGGATTAACATTCGGAAATGTAATACTTACAATTTAAATAAGCTGAATTAATTTATCATATTTAACAATCAGAATTTAGTTTAGATCAAATTAAAAAAGCATATTTTTATTTCAAACCTATCCCACATGTTCTTAATAAACTCAAACTAAATGACTTAGAGGTTCTTAATCCCAAGCCTATCAAATGTAAAAAGTAAGGATTTATTTATTATTAATTTAAATATTTTTAATCTAATTAATTTTAAATCAATATAAATAAACCTTTATTTTTTTTTCACTTTTTATACCTTCCACTTTAAAAGAGTCATATTTTCAACCCTCAATAACTAAAACTGATATTAGTTTAATTTCTCAATTGGAAAATGATACAAATTTCGTTATTGAATCAAAACCTCAATCATTAGTATTTTTCCAATCTATAATAAAGGGTCATTTTGATATCACTTATTATGAGTGAAAGACTAAGTCGATTTCAATTTTCTTCATAGGAGCAAATTGATATTATCCGTAGCAAATAGGAAATTTGTATAGTTTTTGGATCTAAAATATATGTTTACCTTTTTTGCATTTGATTTTACTTCACTGCACGTTTAACCACGCAAAAAGTTTTACTGATTTATGTAACCAGCGGATCAAGTTATAACACTTTCTTATATTTGTGAGAAAATAGAATAAAACTCAATCTAGAAGTGTTATCATAGTAAAATATTCGATTACATTCACTTTTTAGTTTTTTTTATTTAATCTTTTTTAGTTGATTGTATCTCTATTTCCCTCTTGAATGCAGTCTCATAACATCTCTGCATGCCAAGTCCCTTGACAAAAAAATGCCCAAGTCCCATTTTACATAGGGCCTCCATTGATTTCATAGAAAACAGCCTATAGCAATACACTAGCCCAAGTTGTCATAAAATAAATTGAATTTGACACTGGTAGTTATGTCGGATTACTCTACTCTGTAATGGCCTACCTTGAACATTATTTCTCAATTCAATGGTGAGAGCTAGTAGAATATATGTATCATGAACAGGTTCAAATCCAATGACCAAAAATAAAACATCATCTCAAAAAAATTAAGAGCTCCCTCCAACTAATAATGCCGGAAAATTATTTATTTATTTATTTGTTGATGGCAACTACTGTTATGTTCTTTGAAGATAGAAGAAAAGCAAACAAAAGTAAATCATTTGACATCACTTTTTCTGACTCGTGTTACCTCTTTTCCTTAGCAAATATAAGACTAGCCATTAAAATTATTAGAATTCCACGAAATTGATGGGGAATCAAATCATGATAGCTCATTTAGTAATATATTATATATAAATATAAAGTAGCAATTAATAGTTTTACCTAGTTATTTTTTGTAGTATCCATTAAATACAGGTCATATTTAGTAACAAATAATTTGGATAATAAATATTTTTCTAATGTCACTTGCAAGCCTAAGCATAAAAGTCAAGATGGCCGAGTTGGTCTAAGGCGCCGGTTTCAGGTACTGGTCCGAAAGGGCATGGGTTCGAATCCCATTCTTGACATTTCCTTTTTTCCATTTTGTTGAAGTTATTATTTTTTCGGTCGAAACACGTATGGTAAGGTTTTCTCAAATGAAATTAAAGGCCCTGTATTATGAATACGGATATAACTACATATATAGCCTTGGCCCACAAGTTGCATTATGCTACTTTGATTTAGCTTCTCATGTGTGCTTGTACTGGAAATAGGGTCAGAATCTAATAAAAGGTAATGTCCTAGAAGAAGTTGGGTAAGAAATTATCAACACGCTCAATTTCAACATTACGAAGGTCCATTTGTGAACACTATCGAGGCCTACAAATGCTATGTGAGCGCTAGTTTATTTGGAAAATAACTTTCAACATTATCTAAGGTTCATTTGTAAAACGGCAATCCTATGTTTTTTATATAACTTTAAGCACACCGTTATCTCCACGAGAGTCTTGAGTTGTTTGCATGGGATCAGAATATCAAATCTCATTGCCACCATCAAATAGAAAAAATTATGTCAATCGGCATAAATATGATCTCACAATCGAAGAGTTCACCGTTATTATACAAAACAATGGTGGAGAAAAGAATGAGATTTTAAAGCCTAAAAGTTCATAAGTATCGCACCTTAGGTAACTTTGCATTCACGATTATTTAAATAATGAAAACTCGTACCAAAATAACTGTTCATATTATATTTATGTTAAACTATACGCTAACCTTGATAATAAGGAATCCAATAATAGTATTTGCCAGGTGATATCCTTCAAAGATCTTTCTATATACTCACTTAAAAGCAAATACATTTTATAAAACATGCACAATCCAATTTGTTTTATCTCCCACCACCATGATGAGTGAGAAACTGTGCGAAAGCCTTCCCTATTCATTTCCTTAATCATAACACATCAGGCCGTAAATCCTATTAGCTTGTTCTGCAATCCCCAATATATAGGTAGGTAAAAATAATCCCAAGCTTTGTTCCCATTTACGTTATGCATAATACGGAAGTGGGTGTTCAGGGGATGGAATGCTCCAAAATGTAGTAATTGCCTGAAAACCATTATGAAACCATACACTCGGCGACAACCGGTTAAAATATAAAGGTGCACGCATGCACAAAATTTAATTGGGGCGGTGTGGAATATTGGTAAAATCTAAACCACATAAAACACAAGAATCATAAATTCAATTTCAAATTAAGTTCCAAATTCATAGTTAACACCATCCAAAGTCAAAATTCTTTAGCACAAATTTTAACGAAGGGATTTTTTTTTCCATTCATAAATCACTCAAATTAACTCTTGGATGCTTGCTTTTCTTTAGCCTTCTGAATCTTCAATACCTTCTTCACAATCTTTTGCTCCTCAACGAGGAAAGCACGGATAATCCTACACCAAATATAAATACCCATTAAATTTACTTCAACTAACTGCCTGCTTGAGCAACTCCACAAAAATAGTTAACACAATTCCCAATGCAAGTTATGTAAGAAGGAGATACTTTTCAACTGTGCTAGAATGGAGGTTTGGATGCCTACACAAACAGGTCCTAAGAAATTTTGAAAACAATCATTTAATGAATTTCCGAGTAACATACCTTTCTCTAACGGCTCCTCCAGATAATACACCTCCATAGGCCCTGTTTACTGTCCTGCGGTTCCTAGACAATCTAGATCTCTTGTATTCAGCTGGTCTCAAGTGTGGAATCTGCAGATTAAGTCTGGATCAGAAAATCATGATAGGAGAAGGCACAATGCTCGCTACCATTACTTAGGACGTGTTTGATTAAACAACCTAATTATGCACTTATTCATCAAGTTCTAACTAAAGGAGAGCTTATCTAAAAGCTTGATTGTGAAACTTCATGAAATGAAATAAAAGGAATGTATTGAAAGGTTATAAGTCACTTCCATAAACTCTACAAAACACCCCTTTAGTCAAAATGAAGAAAGAAAAACAGAAAAATGGACACGAAAACTTCAGGTTGGCACATGCATTGATGGGTATATCTGCAGGTTATGAGCAAAGAACATCAAGGAAAAGCAAAAAAGAGATGAAAATTTTGAAGCGGAATTATAACCCACAAGCAATTGATAGGAGAGGATTACACTCCAACAGGATAAGTGGCAAAACAGTCATCAAATGATGCTTAACTCATTGATATTAATTTGTTGAATTTGCTATTTCAGAATTAGGACTGCCAACAAACACCAAAAGCATAAGAGCATTATTGCATCCATAAATCTCTTCCTCAGGAGATCAATAAACAACACTAATTCCAGTCAGATGACTGAGACAAATAATATATATTAAAAAAAAAAAAAGCAGTTCCATCCCATTCCCGGAACCTATCCTCAATAATATCCGACAAATATCTTATACACACATACCACTAACAATAAAAAATGATTCGAGTCAATTTGGCATCCAACCATAACTAATGCAGAATTAATACAACCCAGAAATTTTCAATCTAATCCATTTCAAATGACACAACATACACAATTTCACCCACAGAATAATACAAAGCATTATTAAGGGCATCCCCAGATCTCTCAACACATACATCTTGTCTTCAAGAATATAAATTAGATTCTTCACAATAACTGATCCACGAAAAAAACAAATATAATTCACATACATACCCCTTGGATCCTCTTCCCAGTGACAGGGCATTTTGGTCCACTTGCTCTCTTCTTAGTGCTCTGGTACACCAACTTTCCACCTGAGACAAAACCATTTTTAGACCCAGTTACAACATCAAACAGCAACAACAAAATCAGTTTTCGGGAACAAAGGAAGGAACATGAGAGATCAAAATAAAGCACAAAAATTGGAAAAAGAAATGAAATAAAAAAGGAAGCATACCAGGAGTTTTAACAACCCGGTGTTGGTTGGATTTGGTAGCATAACTGTGACGCTTCCGATAAGTTAGTCTCTGCACCATGTTGGTTGTTAATGGAAATGAAACCTAGAACTACAGAAAAGAGACAGGGGCGTCGAAACGAACACTAGGTATTATAAATGGAAGAATGTCTCAAAACCCTAATACCTCTCTCTATATCCCTTTCTTTATTGGGCCTGATATTTGCCTTTACCATACTAAGTTCAAATTGAAAATCTTGCCATACTGCCGGCCCAATTATATTTTTATTTTTGACTTAAAAGAAAGGCACAAATACCAAAAATGTCTTTGCAGTAGTCGCTTACACAGATGAGGTCTTCCCCCAAATTCTCACATTCTCTCCCCCAATTCCCCATTGTCTTAAAAAATAGAAATAAAAAGAATAAGATAAATAATTTATCATGTTTTATTATATTTTTTATGTTTATCTTATCCTATTAAATTAACTTGTTTAATCTTGATAATGCAAATTTTAAAAGTATATATGAACATCATTTTTAATAAGAAAAATATTATTCATTTTATAATATATAATTATAAATTTTTTATAATTTTTTGCTTCAATTATAATTCATTATAAAAAAAAATTTAATAAGATTATTATTAAAAATGAAAATTTTAATATAATTTATACACAAAATTATTTTTTGTTTTTAAAAATGTTTATATATATATATAATATAAAAATTCAAAAGGTTAAATTAACTTTTATCAAAATTTTGGTAATTTTGATATAAGAGTAATTTTGTCAATTAAATATAATTTATATTTTTTTTTATCTCAAATGTTAAATATTATTTTACATCTTACCATGTTTCGCTGTTAGTGCCATTTAGTCTCTTAATGTTTTTATTCAATCAAAAAACAAATGTAAGTTTCATAACATAATCTGCTAATTATTCGAAAGTATTCAATTTAATTTATTTTTAATTCTTTTAAAGAAACTTATAAAAATATTTTAAAAGGCCTTGAGTCAGAGTAGTTGAAATTGCATGCAAATATGCTTTACTATTTCAATAATGACCTCAATAGCATATGTACAAATCTTTCGGAATTAAACTATTAACTAGGAAAAAGCAAGAATGATGGTTCTACATGTATCCTTCGGTTTACAAAATTGATCTTATTTAGTTTACTACGACACCATGTTAATTGATCCGTAGTTATTCTTGACATGTTCAACACTCTCCAAACCAATTTCATATCCACTTGAGAGAAAAAGTAGAGCACTTGATCTGTCTCATCTTCATGATGCTTTTGGAATTTCTTCAATATGCAGCTTCCACTCCTCAAAAGCTCTCTCAATCTCTTTTCTTTCTGCAAATCCAAACAATATTAATCAAAATAAGAAAGAAAATAGAACAACCCTTTTTCAAGAAGAAAGTTGATTTACACTTAACATAAAAAAGTATGTGACTTTTGAAACTTTAATTACCTTTTGAAGATTCATTCGAATCTCCATTAGAAGCTCTGAATCAGCAGGGTCTTGCAGCTCTACTTGATTTTCTCTTAAACCTTTAAGTGCCAAGCTAGATGCATCTTTATCAGCTCTTATAAAACGCCAAATTGTTCTGATGGATTCTTCCAAGATCTCCACTAACCTGTCACTTGTTATGGCATCTTTATCTGCCTCTCTTTTTCTGAATTTCCTTTTATCCTTGGCATTGTCTTCTGCAGCCAAATAAGGTTCTTTAACCATGAGGAACTTTTTTGTCTCATATAAGAAACTTTTTATATGGTCCCTAATATAACACTATGAAAATGGGCACGAAAAAGTACCAACTAAATTCCATTTTGAATAAAAGACATGAAAAAAAAAAAAAAAAAAAGGTAACAAGAGACTCTTTAACTCATTCTTTTTAATACACCTCAAATATTGATTAAAATTTATCAAAAATCATAAGTTTTACTCTTAATTTAATTATTCTGTCTCATACTTCTGTTCTCCCAAAGACATAAATCAAATTTACATTGCTTTAAAGTTCTCACCTCTTATTACTGGAACTTGAAGAAGATTGCGCATGGCACAACGATTCCTAGCATAGTTCTCAACCCGTGGACCTTGGAAAGGTTCATTCTCTATAAACCTTTGGAGAAGCACTTGAAATTGTTGAAACTCCCCTGCTACTTCATTGAACCTTAGTAATCCATATTGGTCAGATTCCCATAACTTCAAGGCCTTCTCATATTCCCACTGAAGGAATTCCCAAGAAAGGCATAACTGCCCCACATAAACCATTTCCAAATCACTATACAATTCTCTTATGAACTTCTTCATTGGGTCAGCTTCAGTGTGTTTGCGTCTAGAAAAGCGAAAACCGCGTGGAAGAATGCATGTGATTGCTGGTGAAGTGTTCCTACGGCTTGAAAATGATTGGAGTGGGTCCTTTGACTGCAAAAATCCTACAATTTTCCAATAAACCTAAACAATATTACTGTGACTATGATTGGAGTCTTCACTGTTAAGTATAATGTAAAGCCCACTTAGATTATAAAAACATAACATAGCTTTCTTAATTTGTCATGCATTTAACTTGTTTATTATAAACGGATAAAAAACAAAAAGGCCATAGAAATATTGGGTGGCGCATTACAATCGGCGCTAGATCATTGTAGGGACTGGTTTCTTTGGAAAATTAAGCAAAAGTTAGCCACAATAAGAAAATGTCCAAATGTTAGGCAGAGAAATGGGAAATGTATATTTAATGTTCATGAATCCTTTTGATACGATCTTTTAGTTGATGTGAAGGAGAAGGTACTAAATGCTACAGAGGACAAGCATTAATACGCTCAAAGTGCAGATTATCAATTACGATATGCCACAATATATAAATTTATATTTTTAAAAAATAAGATGTAAATATGACAAAAAATATTAAGTAAAATATAACCTTTTTTTTAATAAATTACTTATATTTTATTAATTTTTAATATCTAATTTTATATTTGTTTGTTTCTGTCATCGTATTACTAGTAATATTTAATTTGTTAAAAATCTATTAGAAGAATATAATTATAATCAAATTAAATAAAACAATATATATATATATATATATATTATAATATTAATCTCTTTATGATATAAAAAAATGTATAATAAAATTTTTAAAAGTAATGTTAAACTTGGATATTGAGACAATTGTATGATACGCGTATAAAAAATTCGGCACAGATAATTTTCTCGGTGCTACAGAATTTTTCCTGTTGTAGTAGTGATTATAATAAAATAGAGAAACACTCTGTTTGACAACAACCTTTGCTACTGATTTTAAAAAATTGCAAATGAAAATTTATCTTAAAAATTATTTATTATATAAAAAGTACAAAGCGTAAAATTTTTCCTTAAATAATACCCCTTTCATTTTTAGTTCTTTAAAATCAGTCCTAAGAAAAGGCATTAACAAAACTATTAAAAACCAAAATTGAAGTGAAAAAAATATATGAATACAAGAAAACAGAGGAAAAAAAAGAGAAGAAAAGTCCAGTTGTCTCAGAATGCATTCTACTGCCATGTATTTGGGTAATTCATGCTTTCCCAGTACCCAACTAACCAGATTTAGTGGGTCCGTGCTTCTACTTTTAATGAATTAGATGAGGTAGGTTTTGATGATCATGTAAGTTAAATGAAAATTTCCATCCATTGAATTGTGAACAAGGAAATAGTAAAAAGTAAAAATTGAAAAACTGCTGAACAAAGCAAAACAAAACCAAGGTAAGGATAGATAATACTGACCTATAGCATACATCTTTTGGTAATTTAAGATATCCAATTTTCGCATTCGTTCTCTGTAGCTCCTGTAGAATTTTGGAAGCTCATTTGTGGTACTACCATGTTGCAGCTTTTCATCAATTTTCCATGGCTTCAAGTCTTCCATTATCCTTGGAGACTCAGAATCCTCAAGAATGGTAGGTAGGCCAGTGGCTCTTACCTTCTTCAGCTCCATTTTCAATTGTTCTATCAAATCTTGATGTTCCCAGAGTGTGTCAAACCGATTGGAATCCTCAAGATCAAAAGTTGTTAAACTCTGAGAATTGGCTTTCAAAGATTGTTCAGCTTTTGAGTTGATGTTTTTGCTATCTTGAAAATTGTTAACTGAAGACTTTTCCATCCTACACTCTTCCTCCAATTTTTCAAGTTCATCCATTATGTCCTCATCTTCCTCTTCAGCAAAATCATCGGGCTCATATCCAACATCCAGATTCTCAAAGTTTTTCTCATCACCAAAGTCCAAGTCTTCTTCTGTTAGAGCTGCATTTTCTTCTCCATTGCTTCCCATTGTATCAATCTCAATAGTGGTTCCAAAGTCTGTGTCAGACAAAAAACCATCATCCACCAAAGAACTGAGAGAATCTGAGTCTGAGCTTGAACAGATAAAATCATCTTCAGAAAGAAATTTGTTAACAACAGGTTCCAGAGGTTGTTCTATATATTGCATAGCTTTGAAATTCTTTGACACCTCATCTTCGTGTGCACTTTTCATCAAACTGTCTAGAGTTTCTGCATTAACCCCACCTTCACAATAATCTGGCATGAGCTTCCTCCTAGACAAGAACCCCAAATCATTTATACCATGACTTTGCAATGGAACATCATCATTTGAATGAACAAAACATTCTTTGACAGTGAAATTTTCAGCTTCTGGTTCATCCAAGAAGTGGCTGAAACTCTTGCCTGACATAAACTCATACTTTTTGGTGCTAGCAGAAACAGCATCATCACCCCCTTTCACAAGTTCACTACTTTCACTATAGCTTCCCTTAACTTCTTCATCGTAATTGCAATCCCAACTTTGATATTGGAATTTGAAAACCAACTTTGTCGTTTCCTCTTCTTCATGATCTGAATTCACACTATTATCAAGAGTTTCAGTACAAAAACTTTTCATGGATTCTGCTTCTTTCTGGCTAACATTAGAATCACTTTGATCGCTTTCAAGTAAGAGAGTATCATTTGATACCGCAAAATTTTCAGAATTCAACTCGGCATCTCCAAAAAATTCAGTGTTTGCCTCAGAATGAATAGACTCAGCTTCCTTATTGTCATGTGAAATCTGAGAAGAACAAACTTGGTTCATTGCTTCAGGACTATAAAATCTGAAAACCAAAAAAGAAGAAAGAGATTAAACTGATAACTGACGGGTATTGAACCTTTGCAGTGGGAAATTCAATACCTCATGAATGTTTTGCTGAAAACCCAGGACAGAGTTTGCATAACCTTAGAAAGAAAAAGCCAGAAATACCCGGAAAAAAGATCCATCTTTCGGTGAAAAAATGCTTTCGGAGAACCCATGTTCACCGAAAAGGAAGTGGGTATTTCACGCAAAACGCGTCAGGGAACGAATCCATGATCAAGTTCATTCCTTTTGAAGCAAAACAGGGGAAGGAGAAACAGGGAAGGGTCATGCAAACTCTGATTCGCACTTTGAAATTTTTCATGAAAAGGAATGGGACCTCACACCTGCACGGACAAAGATATACGTACAAACCGAGTTTTTTTCACCGATTCAGCAGAGGTTGAAGTGTTACCTAATTAGTGAGATTCACATGGGAATGGAAGCGAGATAAGATGAGAGAAGAAAAGAACATGTCAGCGACTTGTGTTTGAGCGGTTGCTTAAAACCATGGGATTGTGTTTACTTTGTACCGTTATATCATTTCATTTGGTTCAGCAGAGAGAACAAAAAATTGGGTTAAATTGAATGTTTACGTCTCATTCTATTGCAATTTCTTAGGCTGAAAAATCAAAATATGTTTTTGTCTTTCAAACATTTATAAGGTGGGGGAAAGGGGTGTAGGGTGAATGATCATATTTAATACGTCTTTTTTGGATCCGTGGAAAATTCATTGGTTTGAAGAAAAAATCCACCCAGCGTGGCTACGTGAAAAGGACCATAAAGTAAACATCCATTTTTAGGGTTTCAAAATTCCCACTTCCGTATTTATCCTACAAATTACGCAACACTTGTTTGCTCGACATAAAATTAAGATCATGGTAAATGAACTCTTACTTTACTCATCTCTAAAATGGATCTTATTGGTACTAATTAATTATAGAAAGTATTTAATGTTTTATATTGCTATCTGAATCACTTAGACAATTTTAAAATTTTTATTTATTTCTTTCTTTTTTATTGTTTTGGTTTAAATAATAAACATTCTTTATAATTAATTTTTTCATAGACGAGGTTCCTACTCAATATCTTAAAATAAAATTAAGCATGCACCACTTAAATCAATCGTCATTCATTTTTTAATAATTTTATAATACAAATTTTCATTTTAAAATCATTAAAATTTTGTAGAATTTTTTATCATAACATATAGCAGGGCGCGTGAAAATAATTTTGACAGTAAACCGAAGGCATGAGTAAACAATAAGCCCCATAAATGAATGCAGTTGGGATGAACCCCTCGAGCGTAGAAAATTAGAAATCACATCAATGAAGAAGAGGGATAAAACCAGTACGTAATTTGTGAAAAGGAAAGTAGAATATAAGAGTGAAGATAATCATACCTTTCTTTTTCTTCGAGATTTTTTTAACTTCCCTTTGAGGGAAGAGAAGTGATGAAGACAAGAGGAAAAATATTTATAATTCTTCACCAAAGTCAAATTAACCTTGTTCTCCCATAAATGGAAATTTTAATTCAAAAATAAAACCCGGAGTCATATTCTCCACTTTGTACACCACTGAAAAGGATATTTTGTTAACTGTTTTTAATGGTAATCATATTTTATAAATTTATGCAGATCATATTGTTTAAATTTGGAATATAAAATTATAAGAACACCTTTAACAAAAATAAAGAAAATAAATTTAATATAAAACCATATTTTATCTGCGTGAGATAACCGGGTGTGTAATATATATGTATTATGTTTTCTGGTATGTTTAAAATTATAATACAAATATTATTATGTAAAAAAAATTTACAAGTAGTATTAAACTAGCTAGATGATTTTTTTTTAACTTATTAAGTATATTACAAATACAGTACTACTAGTAGAGTATTAAGCTCTGTATAACAATACACTTATTATCATAAATATTATTTATAGAAAATAATCTGGTTCTTGTGTAAGATTCGAACTCAATATTTTATATGAGAGGATTAAACATATAATCTTTAAATAATCTTTGTAGGGAGGCTTACCATTGTACCAACAATCTTCTCGAATTAAGCTTAGAAGAGTCTTTGCATTTTCTTTATTTTGATGTGGCTCTTACCACATTGCTTCCTTTTTTGTGTCATAATGTTATAGGTATAAAGTTTTTTAAGAGTTATGTGTAGTTTTCTTTTAGGCTGTTTGTTTAGCCCCTTTTATCAGAAAAAATAAAATCTATCCAATGATAAAAACAATAAAAACATTGAACCCGTAATAAAAACAAAATAAATTTTTTTATCTCCATTTGAAATTTAAAATATAACATATATTTATTTTTGTAAAAATTTTATATCAAATATCAAACCAAACACAGTCAATTATAATTTTACCCGAGACATTAAAAGAATATAATTTGAAGGACATATTTTCTCTCACGTTATTTTATTTTCTATTTTAAATTGGTTTTTTGTATAATTTATTAAAAGTTTAAAATAGAAGAATATTTTATTTTTCATACTTTTCCTCTCTTCCTCTCATAACTTGTCTTCAAAATACACACTTTGGTGGGGCAATTTGAAATTGTAACAACATTTTGAGCTCATATATAGTTTTATCTTGCTATTTATCTTTTATTCAAGTGGAAGTATATATTCTATATGATACAAGACATAAATCTATATTTGAAACGAGATAGTATTATTGTCAATAAAATAGTACTGTTAAACTCTGTTTAGAATAAAAGAGATTGTTTTGAACTCAAAAGGTTGCTTTAACATACGTCTCGGTTTCAACACTTTGGAATTATCCTGGGCCGGTACAAGCGGACAACCTAACCTTAGGAAGATTCTAACCAAAAGAAGACAAAACCTTAAAAGGTACTTTGAGATATACGAATTATGAAATAGGTAGAGGAGCAGGTAGGCCAAAATAGACACCGTATCAAAATGGGGAGCAGCCAAATATTGGGTACCATAATTTTGGTCCAATTTGAATTAGGGTAATGTATGTAGTATATACTAGTTGGGTTGACAGTAATATATGGGCAATCTTGATTAATTCAATATCTTGAACATGCTGCATCCTGCATGCAAATGAATTTTGAAATCAAATGAAAATTTTATTCTTGTTGCTGACACACGCATTGCCCCTCGTGAAACCGCGTTCCATGACATTGGTCCAAATACACAACATTGTTCCAAAGAGAGAACAACAACATGGGTCGCCTCAATGCCCATAATACAATTTTGCCTTACTGAAATTCAACGATGTCGGAGCTTTCTTGTGGGTTTATTCTTTTCTTCTTCCAAGCACGGGTCAACTTTTCTCACCTTTTTGGAGTTCTCGTTCCTTCTTTTAGTTTTCTTCAAACGTGTGTGTTCACAATGTATATATTTTTTATAATTTTTAATTATTTTTATTATGCTTTATCTTTAGACACATGTTTAAAAATGTTATTATTATTGAATTTGTCTCACTAAAAATCTCTTAATATAAAGAGGGAGAGAAAAAAACAAAGAAGCTGGGGTGACAGGGTGGCGGATTTTGGCGCCATTGTAGGTGGGAAATCAATTATATGAATGAACGTCATTCTTTCTAGATGAAAACAATTTATTCGAGGAATTTTATATTGTTAAATTTGAATCAACTGCAGCGGGAAAAATACAAAAGGTTTTCATTATTATACATTCAAAATATTTTATTTATTTATTTTCAATAAAAAATTATTATAAAAAATTATAAGTAAAACGTATTTTAATTTTTTTATAGAAATCATTATAATTTTTCTAACTAGTTATTCATTCAAACAAGACTTTTAACTTTCTTAATTTTTTTAAATAATACTCAAATTTCTTTATTCAACGTTAGATATGATGAGATATAAATTTTCAAATTATTAATCAAATAATTTTTATTAGTTAAGTTTTTAATATTTTCAAATTAAAAAATTTAGAATGTATTTATTTTTCTATTATTAACAAAATATTTTTTTAGTTAATTTAATTTTGAAAATATTGTACTGTTATGTTTTATATGTGAAAACTTCCACATAACTCATGGTACTAGTTAATACAAAAGTAGCTGATGACAATATTTTAACTTTTAGCAATAATAAATCATTTAAATGACCTCAACTTAAAATTACAACCACTTCTTCCATTTATTCTCTTTTATTATTATTTTATTTATGGTTCAAAATTTGTGGTGTTTTCAAAGTTTAAGATTAATTTTTTTTAACTATATCCTTGTTTAATATATTTTCTTTTTTTACTAACAAATTTACCATTTTTTTCAAGTTTACAGCTTTGATTAATATTATTTTCTTAATATTTTTCCTCAACATCATTAAGTCACCGAATTTTTTAAAATTTAAAGTTAAATTAAAATTTATAGAAATTAAAAAAAATAGTCATGAATATTAAATAATTAACAAGTTAATCCAAATTAAATTATAAAAAATGATTTGATTTTATTTTTAAATTAAATTTGCATAACTTTTTATGTAAAACTTGGATTAAATTGAACCGTAAATAGCACTACTTAATTAAAAAAAATTGGCTAATACACTACACATGGACTTTACTCTCTGACTTTCAAGATATGCCACTGTATTAAACAAAAAAAGTTGATTTTGATGGATCTAAACCATTTATTCTTATTCACTCCACCGAACTTTCTGGTTTCCTTGTAGCTATCTCAATAGAACAAATTGAAATTTACAACTTATGGTTGATATGGTTAAAGAAAATTATGCAATCAATTAAATTGAGATTAACGCTACACAATAGAAATAATCTCGCACAGTTGAATCTAAATTTGATATATATATGTTTTGGTACTTCAAACATGTATAATTAAGAAATCAGAGTCTAGTTTCACACAATTGAATCTAAATACGGGCTTTGCTCTCGAACTCTGGCACGGTGAATTTGGCTTAGTGTGTTTTTAATTGATAGAATTTTGTAGGTTGTGTAGGTTTTGTTCGATGGAGTCATTGGATTGAATAGAAAGGTAAACTTAGGTAAGAAAATGATTATTTTATAAAATCTTATATATAATTTGCAAGACTAAATTAAAAATAAAAGAATGATAAAATATTATGATATGACACTGTTAAAACATAAGTTATAGTTTTATTGATCGTTAAATGGTATAAATAGATTACTTTCACTGTTAAATAGATTATTCTACAATGATACGATTTAATCTGCCACAAAGGATTCTAGTTATGTGATTGTATATTCTTTATAATATTAATTTTTACATCATTATGACTAATATTGGAGAAACCAAAAACTAAAGAACTTCCTATTCCTATTGTAAAATGTCTCCTATAATTGGTGAATAATCTGAGATCAAGTAATTGCAATTCATCTTCTGGGAACTTTTAAGAATTCTTTTTTGTCACGGGAACATAGGATATAGCAGAAAAAGTGTAGTTTAGACACCAAGACAACGTTTGGACCACTTGGCCCAAACGCATTTTAACATAAAAACATAGCAGAAGAAGGACGCATGGTGTCAGCTTGTGGACCAAAACTGAAACGGACGCATGATTTAAACTGAAACAATTTAGATGAGAGGATTACTAAAGATATTTTATATATATAAAGACTTGAATTTAAATTTTTTTTAAGCAATATTAAATTATTTGTCACTCAGACAAATTTTCATCCGTCTTTTTTTATTTTTATTCATTTGGTTCTCCGATAAGTTTATACCATTTGTTTCTAAATTTTTAAAAAATCAGCCCCTAGAGGCTATATGTGTAAAACAAACATAGTGGCGTTTCCGACTGTATTTGTCGTCAATAAAAATCTCAGCCAAAATCCAAATAACACACTACCCATGCCCTGTATTTTAGGCCCAAAAAGCAAAATAAAGAGCCCAAAACCACCTATGCCAATTATTTTCTGATCCTGACCAAAATATATTTTTCTGATCCAAACCTACGCAAATTGTGTTCTTAATTTATGAACTTTTGAAACCAACAAAAAAATTATTTTAAAATTTTAAATTTTAAATTTTAAATTTTTTATTTAGTTCTTTTAATATTTTTTTCCCTAAAACAATTGACACATGGTAACCTCTTATTCAGAATTGTTAATGAGAATGATCAAAATTAAAAGTTCACAATAATGTAAGACAAAAATTGGAGGGGCTTCTAATTAAGACTTTTAAAAAAATATAGAAACTAAAAATATATTTAAACATAAAATAAAACACATTTTAAGGTACCAAAAATGAAAACCAAAAGGAAACACTGCTCTTGACCAAAACAAAAAAAAAAGGATTTGAATTTTCTCATGGTATTGAATAAATTGATATAATCATGTTAGATAGGAAAATACACAATTTTGATCAAATTTATTTAGTAGATTCTATAACCAATTGTGGTGAGTCTCTCTTGGTACAACATAATCATATAATGTCAATTAATGACATGAGAGGATCAAAGTTTGAAAAAAAATTGGTAAAAAAAAGAAGAAAATAATAATAAAAATAGAACAACCCTTTTTAAACCTCTTGTTTAGGGAAGGGGAATAGAGAATATGCCTGACTTGATTGAAGGGTGGGTGTTATTTATGGTGAATGCTGGGTTGTAGGGAAACACCACTTGTGCACCATCGTTTTCACTTTTTGGTATACAGGTTTTTTTTTTTTTTTTTTTTCGACAGCACCAGGAACTCTGTATACACAGAACTATTTGATGCTGTAAACAATTGTCATGTTTCATGGAACTTTGTATGTACAGAGCTATTTAATTACTGTTTTTCAAAATCAGAGCCTACAAATAAAATTATATGTATATTGTCTAACTTAATTATATAGCGGATTACAAGCTTTAATATGATGGAAAGCATATTGATATAATGTGGAGCACAGCTATAACGCCAGCAACTCTATATTGTATGCAATGACAGATTAAAAGTCGTCCACTTTGACTAGTCATGAAGATATATTGGTGGTTTCCTCACTTCTAAATATAACTTAGAAGGGTCCATATATGATGTGATGGATACTGGGTTATCAATAAATACAATCATAATTTTAAAAATCATATCTAAAATATTTTCTTTAAATAAATAAAATCTTGTGTATAAGATCAATATATGGATTATTATTAATTATTATCATAATATATATTTCTTTTAAAACATGTTATAAGTTTTTATGCCAGTTCAAAATTTTACCTAAACATATTCGTACATAATGTTTGGTTGAAAGAACTGGGAGTATTTGTTTGTATTAAAAGTTGTGATGTTGAACTACATTTCTTAATCAGCACTCTTAAAGCGTTGATTAACATTTGTCTTAAAAAGTATATGAAAGAAAGGACCTATAAGATTCTTCATCATGGGTAGTGGTCATCATCGATCGAATAGATGCGTTAGAAGCAAGGCAAAGGCAAGGGAAGCAATGGGTTGATTTTGAATGAAATGCTTAGATAGGGGGTGCTGATGACTTGACAAAGAGGGCAAAACATAGTGAAGAGAACCCAAAAAAATAATATATATTGCGGACCAAACGACGAAGATGGACTTTCAGCCATGTTCATTAATGTTCTGATCTATACAATAAAATGATAAAATCATTAATGAGCAATTCTCTGTCTATTTTATTACAAAAATATAGACAACCAAAACATATATCTTTTTTTCCTATTTCTAAATAGCATGGCTTTTTAATTTCAATCGTAGTGTAATACTAAAACACTTTAAAAGTTAATTTTTTAACTGATTACTTAATAAACAATTTATACATAAAATGATAAATTAAAATATGTGGCAACTTACTTTTTCCTGATAGAAAACAAAAGGTTACTGATTTTATGGAAAAAATTTGCTTCTCTGTTCGAAATGTTTACAAAAATAGTTGTAACATCGGAATAACATTTTGTATCATTTTATAACCAGTTTTACCTCAAATTTAATAAATGACATTTTGTTTTAGTTCAAGTGATGTAACTTTTTTTCTTTGCCTTTTGATCTTCATATCCTCTATTAAATGCCTATTTGCCCTATTGGAGAAGTTTTGCTTGATAAAATTCCAAGGACATTGACCCTCGTTAAGTTGACCTTGGTGAAGGCCTTAAAGCTTCTTGCTCCTAACCACAATTATTGCCGTTACAAATTGTTGGGATTAAACACCTGCTTTAATAGCATGAATCTTAAGGTTGCCATCATTATCGGGAAAACATGCATGTTCTGCATCTTTAATATTTTGACAATGGAATGTAATATCTTTTGCTCAACGCTAACATATATAGTACCGCATCAACAAAGAATTAAAATAAACGCTTTTTATATGCAAAAATATTAGACTAATTATTTTAAAGATATAATTTTGACTTTCCTTTAGTGCAAACTGTTTTTAAATCGTTAATTTCTCTACTCATCTGTTGTATCAAAATTAACTTCTTCCATTATAATTTGATTTTGATGAATTATTACATCATTAATTTAATATAGATACATCTGATAAAGTATTTAAGCTATTTCAATTATGACAACCCAAAGATATAGTGCCTAATGTAAGTCACTAACAGCTGGACTTGCACAATTTTATACCTTGTAAGTATTTTTAATCAGATCAGATAAACAATTGTACGTAAACCCTAAAATTAAACTATATATGTGTGTGTGAGTTCATTTAGTCCTGAAAAGTAATTGCTGCTTGTTTTGTTTCAGCTTTGCACTTGGATAAGCAAATATAGAGAGAAGACACTTGGAGGTACTTCGACCCCTCAGCCTCTATGTATATGCTCACGTTTGTATAAATGAGCAGCACCTGTAACACATTCTCGAAGTGGGCCTTTGTATGGGTGCCTACTCTTCCAAATGTCATTTATGAGATTTATTATGAATATGTTTTCAATGTATAAACAGTTTGAGGTGGCTTTGTTTTCCATCACTGATTCATGACCCTTAATTGTTTAGAGTCGACATCCATGCATTGTGCCATTATGTTCATGGTCTGTATGAGGGATGATGAAGTCAGTCTATTGATTGGCCATGCATAAACAGATCTTGACCCTTTGATTGATCATAAATAGTTCTGAGGATTCCTACAGTACCAAAGTCTCTTTTGCTTTCTTGACATTTCTTTTAAATTCGACGTAATTTATGAATTCATTCGAAAATGCAATTTAATTAAACGTTTACATAGCCATTTATACTATATATTTAACTAAAAAAATTTTAAAAAAAATTTAAAAAAAATTATTTTAAAAATTTATAGTAAATACTATACTAAAATGAGTTAAAAAGAATTTATAACTGTCATAAGTTATTTTTCATAATCTCTTCATAATTTTTTAAAACAGAACCTAATTTGATATTTATACTATTATTATTTGTTATTTAGGATCAATATTGTATTAGTTGTTTGCTGTAACATTAATGTTAAAAGATATCGAGTAAACTAATAGATTAATAAAAATACCGGTAATTCAGAATTTTTTTTAACACATAGTAGTTCTTAACAATTGTTTATAAAAGTGATGATAATAAAATAATAAATGAACGCTCAGGCTTAAACATTGAAAATTGCACACGATTAAATCTCTAAATGTAAATTAAGTATATTTCACAAACAAGATAAACATGATACACCTAGAAACAATATAATGGCGTATAATTTCAGTTGCCCAAATCATAATATTCCATTCATCCAAACTTATTATTCTACTTAAGCAAAGAGAGATGATAGATCTCGAGTCAGTTATGGTCGCTATCCAAAGCATTATGGTACAATTTAAGTATAAATGCAATTAATTAGTAATTTAGAGATAAGATAGTAAAAGAAGAAAGGATTTGGATCATTGAGCTCACTAGCAGGTGAAGAAGACATAAATATAATGGCGATAGCTTATTAGGCTTTTGCAAAAGTCAGCTTTATCTCAAATTTACATTTAATGTCTGCTGGGGTTTATAGACTTTTAAAGCTGAGATAATTGAGCTTTCCCAGCGCAGCTACATTGAATGCCACGCGGTTTTGAGAGGTACAACATAGTGGTATTGCCCCTGCTGAGGTGAATAATTTTGCCTCACTCTTTGAGTTAATGCTATTGCTGCAACTTTTGACTCTTGCCTTCTTTTTTTACTTGTTTAAGTCAGCTTCCTCTCACAGCCCCACCATTAATCCTTTACCCTTTCTTTTTAGCTATAAATGTACATCAACCAAAGGTTAGGCTTTGACACTTTCCTTAGAACCTATTATCAAGTAGTAAGGTTAGAGAAATAAAAGAGAAGATATCATCACACATATAGAGGAGAGGAAAACGACCCATTTTCCCTGAGAGAAGAAAGGGTAGAGAAAATTAGATAGATCACAAGTATAAAGGCGGTGAAATAAAAGAGAAAGAAAACAAGGAGACATGGGAAGGCCACCTTGTTGTGATAAAGAAGGGGTCAAGAAAGGGCCATGGACTCCTGAAGAAGATATCATATTGGTGTCTTATATACAAGAACATGGTCCTGGAAATTGGAGGGCAGTTCCTACCAAGACAGGTTAATTAATTAGCCCCCACAATCTCTTTGGTGATTTTGTAGATTGATCAGTATAATTCCTTGTCCTCTCTCTTGGATCATCTTTAGGAAAATTGTGATCCAACACCGTCATTTTAATTGGTCATTTCATCATTTTGGTTTTTATAGTTTTACGTCACTTGATCTGATTTTTTATTTTTATTTTTTTCAGGGTTATCAAGATGCAGTAAGAGTTGCAGACTTCGATGGACGAATTACCTGAGGCCAGGAATCAAACGGGGTAACTTCACAGAACAAGAGGAGAAGATGATAATCCATCTTCAAGATCTTTTAGGAAATAGGTAAAAACCAATCTTCCAAGCACCTACTTAATATGTATGAGTTTTGAAGATTTATTTTTTGAGCTGTTTTGTGTATTTTAATTTGGAAAGTTCTATTTATGCTAAGCTGGATCACATTGATTATGGCACAGATGGGCTGCAATAGCTTCATACCTCCCACAGAGAACAGATAATGACATAAAAAATTATTGGAACACTCACTTGAAAAAGAAGCTCAAGAAAATGCAAACAGGTTGTGATGGTACTTTGGGAGACGGGTTTTCAGCATCAAGGCAAACTCCTAGAGGTCAGTGGGAAAGAAGGCTTCAAACTGATATTCAAATGGCAAAGAGGGCTCTCAGTGAAGCTCTTTCACCAGAGAAGCCATCTTCTTTATCTGCTTCAAACCCCTCTAATAGTAGCTCCTTCTCTTCCACCAAACCAACCCAATCTTTGTGCTATGCTTCAAGTGCAGATAACATAGCTCGTTTGCTGAAGGGTTGGATGAAAAATCCACCAAAGTCCTCAAGAACTAACTCAGCTGTGACTCAAAACTCCTTCAACAACTTAGCTGCCGCCGGAGCTGATACTGCCTCTAGTGAAGCAAAGGGATCAAACAGTGGTGAATTGTCAGAGACTTTTGAGTCCTTGTTTGGCTTTGATCAGTCTTTGGAGTCTTCAAATTCTGAGTTCTCTCAATCCTTGTCACCTGAGGCGACTGTTTTGCAAGATGAAAGCAAGCCTGATATTGGTGCAGAAATAATGCCATTCTCTTTGCTTGAGAAATGGCTTCTTGATGAGGCTGTTTGTCATGAGAAAATTAGTTGTGGTGGTGATGCCCAGTTTTTCTAATTTGGTTCATTTCGTGACATATGGTACTCTGGAGTTTTTGCTTTCATCGGTTATAGGAAGGTCCTCATCAATCTTGCTTTGCCCTTGGTTCATGGAGGCTTGTATATTTTACTATTAACATCATTATTATCATAGTGCTATATTAGTCATTAGATCCCTCGCTGGAAAACTTGTTTCCCTTGTGTAAAGTTGATCTTGCAATGAGATCTTGCTTTTTGAATTAATTGTTCATTCATCTCCGTAGTAATTGAAGTTCCAGTTGTTGAACTTGAAATAAGGTATCGTACGTACCAATTTTATTACTCTCTTTTCAACGCATAAATATTATTCGGTGAAATTTTATGTTAATTTCGTTAGAAAAATAAATTTATTACGGCTCAATTTGGATTTTTCCCCCCCTTCTAATAATATAAATGCGTTAGAAAGAAAAAATAATGTGTTCTTGAACATTGTTTTATTTGCTCGCTCATACTTTCAAAATAAAACTGTTCGGTGGATATCTTGAAATAAGTTTCAACTTTCTGGGCGCCCCTTTATTCAATAAGCTCGATACCGATATGTGACAATTAATCATGTTAAACTTATTTCGTGAGTAATTTTAATCGTATACTTGCTTCATTTCAAAAAAAAGTTATAACTTTCATTTACAATTTGTATCCTGCATGTACAAGTTTAACATTTTTTGGATTAAATTTGTCTTAAGTTTGAAAATTTCAAGGTTTATAAAGAAAAGTTGTAAACATATAACAAGAACAGTAAACATATGAATAAAATAAAAATATGTAAAAATATTTTAAATTTATTAAGATATTATAATAATTTAAAGAATCTTGTTGGACACCAGTTAAAAAAATTTAATACGAAAATGTAAGAATACGAAACTTGTAACACTTATCAAAATATTATTAGAATTTCCAAATTAATAAGTAAGAAAATTGACAGAAATCAAACATGGTTTTGTTTATGCGATTTTTGTCGGTCAATTCGTGCGTCTTTTTTGTTTGTTTTTTGGAGTACTATTGAGCATTTGTGTAAAAATTATGATTTATCAATTCCTTTTATTAGAATTTTCATAATTTAAAACTAAAATGTTACGAAGTGAAAATCTTAAATTTAACATATGTTTTTTTCTTTTCTTTAAAATGAGTTTAACGTGAGATGTTATCGGTTGAAAATGGTCACTTCTAAATCTATTATTACATCACCGTTTTGAAAGTTATATGGCCATTTTATTATTTTTAAAGGCCAATTGATACTTTAAAATTTTTTAATTGTATTTAAATCTTAGTTGATTTTGATCTAGGAAAACAAAATTCAATAAACATGTATCATAATTTTGATAATTTGCATTCCATCAAAAGAACTTGGCTAGCAATTAAGATTTTGTAAGGGTGAGATACATGACACGTCACATCTCTTCAAACTTGACATTTTTATCCCTTCCCCTCCCATTCCAGAACTCCATCCTTAACTTGTTCTTGAAATCTTCCATTTAAAATTCTTGGATGATCCCAAATTAACCATTAAAATCATCTCACCACATTTGCCTTAATGACTACTAATTCCACATTTCACTTCTGAAAATTTTGCTCTCTCCCGCTAGCCCTCAGAGTAAAGACTTTTACTCCCTTTTATTTCTATACCCCTAACCTTACTCTTTCTATGCCTATTGCCTCAATTCCTACTTCACCAAATTTAGATCCCTCTTTGTCTTCTCCTTCACTTTTGCACGTTATTTCTCTTCTTTGTTCAAAGTTTATATTTAATGGACTACTCCATCATAATTTTTTTTCTTGCATTGTTTTTGTTTCCCTCTTTCTTTTTTTCTTAATTTCTTTCCCTTCATATCTTTTGCATTTTTTTTTTCAAAAACACTTTTGTTTGTTCCTTCACATGTGTATAATTAGCTATGATCAGGGTCATGCCAACAAGGTTGTCATTTCTGCACCAAGCAATGATTCACCCATTTTTGTTGGTGGTGTCTATGCGAAAGAATACAAACCACATCTTGACACTGTTTACAATCTTAATTGCACTACCAATTGCTTTGCTCCTCTTGCCAAAGTTTTTTGTTTGATAACCCTTGTGATGTTTGTTTGTGGTGTACTTGTGTTTTAAATTTTTCTCTATACTTTTTCTTTTAATTATGAATCTTAATTCAATAATATAATTTTGATTGTTTTAGTATATAATATCTAACGAACCTCGTACATGATAACAGACATTTTTTTTTCAGTGCAATTTTTTAAATATTGTTGGTATTATATGTTAATTAGAATTTAAATTTATCTCACTAATTTATACTAATATTTAAAAATTATATTAAAATAAGACTTTAATTTTAATAAATAAACGATACTAACAATACTTAAATACTTAAAGACCAACTCATAATTTTTTTCACACGTCATTGCTCTAATATTCATACAATGCATTTTGTAATGAATTTGCGTGCCCAGTTTTAAAGTCTCTATCAAAATTGATTGTCGTCCTTGAAAGGATTCTTTCATGTAGTAATTTAATACGACACGATCATATAAATTTTCTATACTTATCTCCTTGCTTAAAGATATTCCACTTCTTTGAAGAATATCATTTTAAAAGAATTTTTTATATTTATATAAAATTTTATATGTAGTAATTTAATACGACACGATCATATAAATTTTCTATACTTATCTCCTTGTTTAAAGATATTCCACTTCTTTGAAGAATATCATTTTAAAAGAATTTTTTATATTTATATATAATTTTAAAAGTATAAATTATATATAACTGTATTTATATTTATATATTTTAAATAGAAAAATTTATGTAAAAAATATTCAAGATAAAAACACACGAACGCAATTTCTTTAACCATTATAAAATAATTTAAAATTAATTTTTTTTATAAATAATTAGGACATTTAATATATTAATAATAAAATTTTATAATGAAATTTTTAATTAATGTTATAAAAATATTAATTAAGAAATATTTGACATACCATTGGACCAAAATACATGTCCTAAATAATTTTTATATTTCTATTACCAAAAATATATGTACTAAATAATTTTTATTTTTTTAACTAATGTTCTGATGTTATCAGTTAGCATTTTCCTTTTAATAATTTTTTTTTATTGCTTAGTTACCACCCTTCGTTGGTTTTTTATACAATGAATTTTTTAATATTCCTTAAAAAATGATATCATAATATACAGGCATTTTTTTATAATTATTAAAAAATATAAAATTATTTTATTTAGAATAAGAGATTTTTAAAAAAGTTAATTTTTAAATAATTAAAAACTATTAAAACCATACCGTGAGAGCTAACTATAAAGTTATAAAATCCTTTGTTTATTTAAAACTTTTTTTTATAATATGAATTGAGAGGAAAAAAAAGAGATATATAGATAAAGTTTAGGAGCTTTGGTGCAAAGTAAACTCTATATTAACGTACAAAGTTTGTAGTAAAGTCCATGTGGGTTTTGTTTTTTTTGAAGGATTTCTTTTCTTTTTTACCTTGATTTTTATTTAATATATATTTATTATTTGAATTCATTATTGAAAATTGACTTGGCATATACTATTATGTATTTTTATTTTTTATATATTTTATAGTTTTTTTTAACATATATGGATTACAAAATAGACTACAAATATTTAAAAGAGGTGCCTAGAAATGTTTATTTTTAATGATACAAATTATATTTTTCTATTTCATAATAATAGCAAACCAATTTTCAGTATGTTTTGCCCTCTTCACTTTATTTTTTAAAGCTTTTTCGCCCGTGTAATCAATGTTTTCCTCCATCAATCTTTTTAAAAGGTTAAATGGTCACCAAGCAAACACTTGTCCACCCGGTTTCCACTGCTTTCAGCATTTCCCTGTACTAGCAAAGAAGGAAAAAAAAACACAAATCAAATAAGATAATTTTTATAATACCTTATAAATTAATAAAATATTATATACTTTTTTATATGTAGAATAATTATTATTATTAATTTTATATTAATAAAAGAGAAATTAGTAATTTATTTAAAAAATATAAATATTTTTTAATTTTTAAAATATTAAAACAATCACAACAACAAAAAAATAAATAATACTCTCTTAAATTTTTACAAGTACCGTGGTACAAATGAGCAAAAGAAAATTATGACCAATCATTGAATTATGTTAGTTGCATCCTACATGCGTGAACTCTTTGTAACATCCTTTATATATATGTATCCCAAATTAAAAAGAAAAAAAAAACATCACAAGATACACTCGGATATAGATACATGTTTGAAGCCCCTTTTTTTTTCTCTTTCTCCCACTCATTCTTACATAGAAGTTGTAAGAACTGATCTTCGACATAAATGCCCATTAAGGTATATATTTTTTTCTCTGTTACTTGTTTTATAAAGTTATTTTAGAATTTTATTCTGGCAGTGCAAGTAACATCCCCACTGTAAAGGAATGGGAAGGAGCTAGCCTTAAGCCTCTCATGAATTTCATTATAGCAAACCAAAAATTGAAGCTGTCCAATTTCTTACTTTATACTGAATGGTAATGGGACCATTTCGCCATTCAATTCATCATCTACACCTACCCTTTCTTATACTTGCCAAGCCTAAAATTTTAATCTAGAGAGCTAAGGGTAAGTCTCACCAAATATATATATTAAAACGAAAGCAGTGTTTTTATAATCCAACATCAATGGCTAGGTGTCATCATGGCTTTCCAACGTAATTCGAACTTTATGCCATGCAACTAGCTCTTTCCAAAGTTAGAAAAACAAATTAAACGCGTAAATGTGAGTAACCTGTTGGTTTTTTTGGTCATTTTGCGTAACAAATCCATAAAAATATAGCATATCAAGTTTCCTGGTCCCACTAATTAAATGACTTTGACACTTGTACATTTCAATATTGGAGATATATGGATCCTTCTATGCACATATAAAGTCACAGTGTTAATAGATTTGACCATTTCAATATATATATAATTATGTGCTTTTTGCACTATATTTTAGAATATACACCGACTCAAGAGATATAGAAAGAAAGATATATAGAGAAAACAACTACCAAATCCTGTGCATATATATTTGCAAGTTGCCAAACTGAGCTAACTTAATAAAGACGGAATCATGTGCCGCCCAAGCCTGATCACCTTCTGAGCCCAACCCAATCTGCATTTAGTGCACCATGTGAATTCATATACTGCTTTGTTTAATAGCTTGCATTGTCATACAACACGTAATATATATGAGGAAAATTTGTTCCACAATTT